TTTTTCAATTTTTTTTTTAAAGGGAATTTTGGCAATTTCCTTTTGGATTGTACCCTGACGTACAGATTTCAGGAGTCACCCGGCACCGTTCGATTCTCAAGTAGGGACTGTATGAGTTTCGCAATTCCTGTGACCTGTGCAATTGCAATGGGTTATATTACAGTTTACTTTCTGCTGCCCTCTCGCCTTCAGCTGAAAATTTAACGGGACACGGACGTTACGGAGAACGCATCATATAGCCATGACACACGCAATGATCACAACTAGAGGAGCCCTGGTATTATGAAATGCATCCTTGGTCGAGGAAATGCGTTTACGGCGATACTCGAGCTATACCTTATGGAAAAATCCGATGGGGTCCTCTACGATTTTTAAACGCAAAATCCTATAGGATCCTATGAGAGTCCTATGTTATTTTTTGTTTTCTCGTAGGATCCCAAAGGAACTTTTCGTAAGGGATTGGTTCTACATGGAGGAAATGTTGGAGTTTGGCGGAATAAAATTGGAAATTCTGGGAATTCTATAATCGGGCTAACTTGAAGTAGAAAGAGCAGCCGCTTAATTTGTCATCCCATTATTAAATTCGCATTACAAATTCGCATTACCATCCCATTACAAACAGGTTACAATCCGCTGCTGGAGATTCCCTCTGAAGTGATCAAGGGCCTGAAGAACCTGGAGAAATTCTTGTGTTCGGGCTGCAACCTGGGATTCACCCTCTCGAGCGGGCTCCTGGTGTTCCGCAGCAAGTCGCTGAAGCTGGTGTCGCTCTGGAAGAACGGGATCGGGAGGATGGACCCGGGGGCCATCGCGGGTGGGCGTTTCCTCCGGATGTCCTGGAATTCCTTGTCGGCCTGGGATTGCGTGAGGTTTTCCCCGTGCCCGTTCCAGGTCTGAAGCCCGACACGACGGTCGACCTGACGTGGAACAACGTGAGTCTCGTGAGCGAAGGGATTTTCCGTCCCATGCTGGAGGTCATGTCCCACGGAGACGGGAAGCTCGTCCTCGAGAGTGAGTTGCTCCACCGCGTCGAAACCGAAGTGTGTCCCTCAGAAAACATTCCACTTGACAGGTGGATTTGGAAGCAGGTGGATGTCTCCATAGGCGTATTTCCACCTGTTGTAACGATGTCCATCAGATTAAAAATTCACCACGCGGAATATCCACCGCGTTCCAAATCCATCAGATTTACTTAATCTATAAGCCGGGTGGGCTAAGAGATTAAGGTGGATGTTTTGTTTGGGATCATCCATCGTTTCTCGGGCCATTCCTTGTTTTTTTTTGTGTGTTTCAGATAACCCCATTCAGTGCGATTGCAGTTTGGCATGGCTCGCGTTCGCCCCTGAATTGTTGGGGAAGGTGAAGGGCGCGTGCGACTGCGCGAATGGGACCGACATCATCGACTTGGACCTGATGGATTCCTTGAAGAAATGCAGTCGGTGTCCGCACCAGTGCCTAGGGACTCAGTACGAGTCCCTCTGCGTGCCGGGGACGGTGAATTTCTCGACGGTGGGGGACTGTCGGTCGAAGGAGTTGTGTTGCCGGCTGGAAATCCCGAAAGCGGCGAAGACGATCCCGGCGATGGCAAGTCCCGCTTAATCCGTCTCGACGATGTTAAGCGCCGAGGTGTGGAACTCGGGGCCGAATCCACCGTGCGAGCATCTTTCGTCGCTCTTCTTCTTTTCCAGGCGCAAAACTGCAGTCGCATTTCGCGGGATCAGGCGTGTCCCCTCACCCACTCCTGCCTCCACCCGTCGGCCAAGAGCCTGTGCAAGCCGCGAACCGACATCCCCCGGGGATGCCCCGGGAACCGCGTCTGCTGCCTCGCCAGGACCGCCTAAAGCCTCCGCCTTCCGCGCCTAAAGCCTCCGCCTTCCGCGCCTGGAATCCTCCAAGGCGTTTCTCCCGCCGGAATGCGTTTCTCGTGTGGGAAGAAAATCCAAAAATCGAAAAGACTCCTATTGATGCACGCTAATATTGGATATCGTGAGATTATCTCTCAAGCTTGAAGGTCCAATCCGAAGTAACTTTGCGGGAGAACAGATTGTGCAATATTTGATGACAACCGATACTATAAATTGGACTTCATGGAATGAAGTATAATAGGGGAGCGGCGGAGCTTAGAAAGGGGCCATATTTTCCAAGCTTGAATTATCCATTATCCATATGATCTACGGATTCCGTTATGGCTTGTCGACCCCAATTTTGAGCGCGCGGTGTCAAATTGGTAACCGAAATTCCAATTGGCTGCTCCAACCCGAAGGTTTAAATAGGGAGGAACCCATTGTCACGTGACGTTGAGTGTTTCCCGTCTAAAAATGGGCATTTTGGGTCAAGGAATCTAATTTTTATTCAAAACCTGCGTTGTGCGTTTCAAAATGAGCAACTTCGGTGATTTTAAAATCGGCCGCCACCGCCGGAAAATGGAATTTGCGACGAATTCCGCAGTCGCGAGAACGCGGGTTTTACGTCTGAATGAGTTTCTCGTTTCAGAAGAGTTCCGTTCTGATGCTCAAATTGTCGAATGTTTCCTTGCTAACACAATGCGGCCGGGAAATTTAAAAACCTGTGCTTCAAAAAATGTTTGCATTTCCTCCTCCGAGCCGGCCATCACTTTAAAGGAATTGACGCTTTGGTCGGGCGAAATAAATTTATTAGTTAATTGCAGTCAGTTAAAAATATAATAATAAATATAATTTTTGCACCAAATTTGGGCAAAAGCATCGAGGCAAGGCAAAACCATGGTCCTTGATCCTTCGTCGATCCAGTTGGCTTGTTGTTCACAACTTACGGGTCGAATAATTTCTGACCCGGTGGAAAATTCACCAGAGCGACACGAACGGGAGAAGTCGTCTGGAGTTTCGGCCCTTTTTTGCTCCTAGTCGTCTGTAGTTTCGGCCCTTTTTTGCTCCAAGAACATCAAGTCCGAAACGAGTCGCGATTCTGAGACAAACAGCGCTGCAATGGAGCGACGGACGATTCCAATTTATTTCCGCTCGCCGTGCAATTATCGAATTCAGATAATTCCCGCCAGTTTGTCTCAGATAGAAATAAAGCAACCGTTAGCGAACTTTTGCACTGGCAACTGAAGCTGTCTCAGGAACACTTTAAGAAGAATGCGTGCAATACGACGCTGAAGATCTTGGCACCGACGAAGTAGAAGATGCCAACGAACGCCAAATTAAAAAAAGAATTAGCTAAAAATTTTTTGGCTTGCTTCGATGCTGATACTGCTGGGAGATACCATTTATATATAGTGCGGTTAAACTAACTCCTTTTCACTAATACCTTTTTTAGTTCGCGACGAGTTCCTACTCATTTTTATTCTTCAAAAGTGATCGAGACTTCGGAGGAAGGAACTTTCCAAATTGTTAAACAATATTTTATTAAATCTTTTTTAATCTGTCGCCATATTATGCATCAATTAAATTAATTATTCTTTGAATGTCAGAGCTGAACTCTTTGGCGCAAAAAAAAACCATGTCGACATGAATTTCCTCCTCATGCGAACATGGAACTCGGCCATGATTCCAGCCCTCAGGCCAGTTCGAAAACAACAACTCATTTCGAAGCGCGTGAATCAGATTTAGCTATGAAAAATCGATTCCCTCACCTAAAATAAGCGTGTTTCCAAGCCGCCACCAGACAATTTTTAATATTCGCTATTTAAATATTCGGGACGGAGCAGTCATTTTCTAAATTTGGCCGCGGTATTGACTTCTTGCATTCGGAATTGAGGACGACTGGCCAAAACACAAAACATGGTCATGAGTTTCAAGTCCATGCATATCTTGTATTTATGAAAATTATATGAAAACAAATCCTGTCTGCGTTGCTCCTTCATGATATCCGAGCCTTCCGTTACTCGTGCTCCAAGAAGAAAGAACCATATTCGTATTTATCAAATACATATATAATGATCAATACTATTTCTGGAATAAATAATGCATTGATATGCCTTTTGAAATGGCGTCGGATCTGCACTCGATTGCAGATTGGATTTTTTTCGAATGCATTATTACTCTGAGAGCATCGTAATGTCGTGATGATTGGAAGAACAAAAAGTCATGGGATGTGATGCATCTGAGAGATGGGGGAGGCCCAGAGCGTGGCCCGATTTTTGGGGGTTTTGTGCCACCATACTTTTCATCTGGGGGGGGTCCGAGGCCCATCAGCTACTTCGGAACCCGAAAAGGAAGTTCGAGATATTTTATTGCCATGTTTTTTATTTATTTTAAGTTGAGTCGGAAAGCTTCAAATGGGTTATTTAATGAAGCAACCATAGCGAGACATTAATGCACTCGTACTCCATGAAACTGCCAGGAAGAATTCGGAGAATGGCGGAATATCTAATTGCAACAGGGATTCGAATCGGATGATGAAAACGGTTTCCCGTAACTTCAGAGAGTCGAGTCACACGAACAAAAATTATATAATATCCACATATCATACCAGTTTAAATTTAGCACAGCCACACGCGTGCACGGCCAACACGTCTGGAAGCACCTGCACCTTCTCACGGGAAACCCACGCTGTAACACGTCCCGTCCCTTATCACCGCCACGTGCCGATTTCTCATCCGGGAACATCCCCCCAAAAAAATGGAGGGGCCACGTCAATCCACGTCGATCACCTCCCGAACGAAGATGCTCCCATCCATCGCCTCCCTTTGCCTCCTCGCGTGCCTCCTCCGCGGGACGCGGGGCCAGAACCCTTGCCCCGGCGCGGCCGACATCGCTCCCTGCACGTGCGAGCAGGTCGCGGGGGAGGTCACTGTCGACTGCTCCGATGTGGCGACGGCCGACGAGTTGTTCAACGTCTTCAACAACATCGCCTGGCCGAACAACGAACTCACGTTAGTTGCGTTATCCTCACCTTGCAAAAATGTTCTGTTCATGTTCTATGAAACTAGGGTTCAGTGTTCATACTCATTTGAATGAACACCGACGAAGCACCTGAGAATATAAAACAGGAACTTCTATCATGCAGCTTTTGTAATGGAAATTTTTGTAATGGAACTTTTGTAATGGAACTTTTGTAATGGAACTTTTGTAATGGAACTTTTGTAATGGAACTTTTGTAATGGAACTTTTGTAATGGAACTTTTGTAATGGAACTTTTGTAATGGAACTTTTGTAATGGA